TAATTTCAATTGAAATTTATGGCAATCAATATCTATATATATTAATAACTTAATAATCTTCGATATTGTATATCAACATTGTACATTAGTCATAAATTTTGCCAGATCGCTTGTAAAAGATATTGAGAAGGAATTCCTAAAGTTGTAAGCCACATTTTTTTTATTTCAATGACTGATCAAACTGAAATATGTTATCAGTTTAGAGAAGAAAAGAAAGATCGTTTTTAGACTAGAAATTTAACATCGCTATATAAGTAATAAATTAAGGTATTTTTTTTTACCTCGGTGGAATCAATTAATATGTGCGCATGCGCTCATGCAAAACACACACACACCTACACACACACACACACACACACACACACACACACACACACACACACACACATACATATACACAGTACACACCTGATTTACTCTCTTCTCTAGTTGCAGAGCCTCCATCATAGCGTCTTTCGCGCTGTTCCAGTTTCTCCTGGACGGTGCCTGGATGTCTGTCAGCACGACGTCGCCACCTCGTTTGTTCTGATAATTCAGAAATTTCATGGCATGTTCGCGTTCCTCGTCCGACGCCTTCTTGAAGTACTTATACAGACCCGGTAACGCGACATCGCTTCTATCAAAGTAGTATGCCTGCAACGAAACGCATGCGGAAGGATGCAGCGTGCAGGATGTGGGACATTAGGATAAATTCCGACAAGGAATTGCCTACAATCAGTAGGTTTAGACCAGATATCTGTTCTTTTCAACTGAATTTCTTATACTATTTATCCCTTCTTTTTCTCTTCACGTAAGAGAGAAAAGGAAAAAAAATGTGAACGGTGCAAGAAGTTCAGGAAAAAATAAATTACTGATCTGCAAAGACACACATGCAGTAACTCTAGTGAAAAAAATTCTCGAAATATCTCATAATATTTTAAAAAATTTGTTACATTTTTAGTTAATAAGGATTTCTGAAAAAATATTGAATTTTTCCAGATATTAGAAATTTTTTTTAGAAATTATAGAATAAAGAGTCTTAGAATATTTCAAAATTCATATATTAAATAACAAAATTCTAAAAAAGAAATGTGAACTTTTCCAGAATTTCCGAAAAGTGTTCTAATTTGTAGTTAAAAAATTAAAAAATTATACAGAAATTCTAAAAAATTCAAAAATTTATATAAAATTTTAAAAAATTATGTGAAGAATTTCAAAAAAAATTTTTACCAGAAAAATCTTTTAGCCTTTTGCTCTGAATTCTTTACAGTTGTGATAACTAGAGTTTTAAAGTCATATGAAACCGTAACATTATATGGCGCGGCCAAAATCATTACAAATACTTTGAAGCGTTTGATTGATCAATGAGAAGAAACAATTTTACGAATTTATCAATCGAAGAATGCTTCATAACATTTGTAATATTATGATAACCGTATCAATAATAAGAAAGAAATGACAAGTTGAAGTTTCTTGCATGCCATCTGTAAATAAAGAAAAAATTTGAATAAGACAAAATAATGAAATTTTTTTTTAAAACTTTTATAAAAATGAATCGAAACTATTCTTCTCTCCTCTGATAGTCAGTAAATAATCATGAAAAGTACGTGAAATGAAAATATGTATTATAAGCTTTTAAGCTTATTTTTCACTTCATATGCCATTTATGATTACTTATTGATTGTCAGGGAGATAAGAATTACAAATCTTTTAAAGCGGTTTCATTATTTTATATTATTTCTCTTTATTTATATAAATTCTCTTTATTTATATATACAAATGGCATATGCAAAATAACTTCAAAAGGTGCTAAAGGTTTACTGTATCCATTGTAGATCGGGTTTTACGATCAATATTCGTCTATTTATTTACTTCGGTACCACAAATAACCACTTAGGTATACAAACGCATTCATTCGATCAATTGCAGTGGAGAACTTTTGTCACGCGAACTTTGGTGGACAATATGAAAACTGCACGTAGTTATACCAAGAATTTATTACATTTATTTATTAATATGTAGAATCAGATTAGAAAGGGAGATAGCAAGAGTTAGTGAAAGGTACAATGGAACTTTAATACAATGTAATGACTAATGTATTCAATAAATAAAAGAGGTAATTTATACAAAAAGGTATTTCCCTCGCAACGTCTCTAATTTTATGGATATAACTTTTATTTATACTTAATATCCAGAGTGATATGAAAGATTTAAGCTGGTAGCATTGAGAGAGGCGCACGTGTACGACATATAGTAGCAAGAAACAGAGGTCTATCTAATCAGGTTGCCTCGGATCGCATTATATCGACGAGGGAAAAACGTTCAGGTGTACATTGCACGCGCGGGGGTGTTTCGATCGCGCGGCCGAGGGCGAAGGGGTGACTGAAAACTAAAAGCTGGGAATGCTGTAGGGCTAAGCTTGATGATCAATACGCCGACTGACCATGGACAGATAGACATAACTGGCGTATAGCTCCAAATTGATTTGCTTGTTGAGCGCGTCCTCGCACTCCTCGTGGAAGTTTTGCCGCACCAGACTCATGGCTACGAGACAAGGGTGGTTCTCACCGCGCTGCCCGTTGTGAAGAGAACTCGCACTGCGCGTTCGCGATCTCGGCCCTGACTATCCACTGACTAATCGCGGATCCCGATCTGCGTTCCGTTCACTCTACGAAGACGATGGATAGGAACGATGCCGCGGAGTCTCGAGGACTTTCATAACATTCCGCAATTGGCGGAACAGTCGGAGCCGAGAGTGCTGCAACTGCACGCAGGCGCGGATACCACTTCGGCGTAGATATCTCGATAAAGAAAATTAAAGAGACTGATCCCTGCCAAGGCCGCCAAGCCAGGAAAAAGCGCGATTGAAGATTTCGCAGGAGATTCGCAACTATACGTAGTATAGTAAAATACGTCGCGACTGTTTGTAAATGAAGAAGAAAATAATGCAAATGCGTGGATTTTTGTCGAACGATCGAAGTTACTGCGACGCAAATGCGCGCATATTAGTCATCATTGTTTAAAAGATAAAAAATGAAATTATACTTTGCGACGATTGCAATAATAACGATTGCAGGTGTTCTTACGAGTTGTCTGTGTAATAAGCGAATTTATTGCGAGTTTATTTGTTAGAAGTCGTAGAATTGTAAAAATGTTCTTTGTAAAAAACACTTTTTCTACGTTGTTATACATAAAAAAGAATTTTTTGTTTACCTAACCTATTGAGATTTTTAATTTAATTTGAGAGCTGAGAATATTTTTTATTTTTACGCGAAAATATATATATATAATAATCTATCAATTTCATTTTGATTGAATTTGAAATGAGAAAAAATAAACGAACTTTTAATAATCATAGAATCTATAAAGTATAGGGAGTTTGTATGTATGTGCGTGCGTGCGTGCGTGCGTGCGTGCGTGCGTGCGTGCGTGTGTGTGTGTGTGTGTGTGTGTGTGTGTGTGTGTGTGTGTGTGTGTGTGTGTGTGTGTGTGTGTGTGTGTGTGAACATGTGATACAAATTAATTTAACCAAAGAATTTATATCAATTCTTGCATAACTTTTTTATATCTAACTATATGTAGCCGTGTTCTGATATATACTGCTGCTACTGAAAATCTATACAGTTTGTGCAGTTACAATGTAATTTTCAGTGCTAAAAATTATAATGTATGTGACACAATCTATAGATTTTCAGTAGCGGCAGTATATATCAGAACAGTTAATTAGATATAAAAAAAATATTGCATGCAAAAATTAACTCTTTAGCTAAACTCTTTAGCTAAACTGATTTATCACATGTTCAAATTTTTAGGAATTTACTCATTTTTTCCACATATTTATTAGCTCTAATCTAACATTATTTCAAGCAAAAAGGATATAAAAGAGTGCCTTCCGGAATCGCAATTATCGATCGCAATTAGAGATATGAGATGCTATTATAACAGAGATCAACAATTTTACATGGTAATAATTGAAAAATTTTGTACATTTTAATTTAATGCTACGGAGTATATATATAAAATGAAAAAATTGAATTTAATCGAAAAATAATTTAATCAATTATTAATTGTATATTATTTATAAATAATGTATTTATGTAAATATATTTTGTTAAATATATAATAGAATATAGTAATGAAACACTAATATAAAAAATAACATTAAAAATTAATTTTAAAAAATTTTATAGAATTATTGTAATTTCTGAATATTATTATTTTATACTAAATTATTAATAACTTTTTTGTAAAAATGTATAATGATTCTTTATTGACTTTTTTTAACATAAGGAAAAATTAATTCAATTATATTATTACAAAATCTTTTTCTACTTTTCTGTATTTTCCACATGCTCTGCACTTTCTGCACTTTACACACCTATAGCAATTAATATTTTTAGAAATATTTTGATTGTCAAGAAACAATTTTTTTTATTTCTTGTGATAATTGGATTTGACCATATCTCTATGTACATATAGTTCACATATTTCATGTTTAATTTTTTATTACATGTGATTGTGTCGTATCATCAGTGACTAACAACTCACCTCGATATCACTCAACATTGAAGTGACAGCCGTTGTCGTTGACAATCACTGATCCGCGTCGTATCGTGTTTCGAATCATTTCGAATCGACCTGAATCATTCCGGTAGGAAATTTCGCGACGTAGTAGCTGTTTTCACTCGTTCCTTGCGAAATTTGTGTGCAGAAACGCGCACGTTTTCGCAGCAATGGTCTACGTTGTTAAGTTTTTCTCGCAGACTCGGTGAAGCCTATGGCATGTCGTATGGGGTTATACCGCGGAAAATGATTCGGAGCAACGTGTCCTGCAGAATTGTCACGGTGCTTGCGGTGATACTTGAAATCTCGGCCACCAAACATTGGTATGTCACGGAAAATGGGAGAATTCAACCGCAAGTAAGTCTTTCTTTTCTTATAATTCAATGGAAATGCGAATACCTGGCTTCGATTTTTTTTCAATGGAATCATCACGTGCAAATATGAACACCACATTATTTTATAATGATCTAGGAGTTTTATCGACAGATGTGATTATTTGATATTTAAACTTTATGTTCTTTTTCACATTTCCAGCATGACAGTGTCTTTGATATGCGTCGACCATATGATCTTTTGGGGTTTTTGGAGCAGGAAAAACGCAGGGAAACAGCTGATGCCATATACAAGAAAATATCAAGAAAAGAAGTATCTATTGACAATCAGTTTGTTGGTCTAAGCATGGTTGATGCAGAAAATTCAAATTCAGATTGTTTCTTATGGGACAAATCATTGGCTGATGTTGACGTGCATGCTAGCATAATGATCGATTATAAACTTAAAGATGGCATAGAGTAAGTTATTATTAGTCATAAATTTGAGAAAATATGGCTGCGTTCAGCAAACACAACAGTGGAGTAAGCCCTTGTTGCTATTAATATGTTTTTCTGATATATTTATCATAGAATCCAAGATCCACACATAATAATCACAATAATAATTACTCAGTGCTTATTCAATTATTATATTTTCTAAATTACTACACTGAAAAAATGTACTAAATTTTAACAAATATTTAATATTTACTTAATAAAAAAATAATTAAATCAATTTATTGATTCTACCAAATATAACTTTATATTTAGTATATAAAAATTTACGATTAGCTGATACTATTTAAACAAATGATTTATTAAAATTTAATACATTTTTTCGATATGTTCGGAAAACACAATAATTAAGTGAGGGCTCAGTAATTGTTATCTGTAATTCAAATAGATATCTAAAAATAATATATATATAATAGCAATAAGTTTTTTAATTAATTGTGTTTTCTGAAAGTAGCCTATGTACTTATTTGTTGAAGGATAATATAATACTTTATGTTACAGTCAAACTGATTATATGTTATATAATGTGGTGGCTAATAGTAAACCAACAGTTCCTGATTGTCAGAAAACATTTCCGTTAGATTTCAGTATATATACATTTGAACATCTTAAAGTAGGTAGAATATATTTTATACAGAAGTCATAACATGTTTGTAACATCATTTTTGTTTATTAGGCAATGCAGAACCGAAAAAATCTTACGCAACATGAAGAACTCAGTTTAATGAAGTATTTACCTTTGAATACTGATCTTAATCAATTTGGTCATCAACTTGCTTACAGCTTATCTCGCAATAATACCTCTTGGATATATTTGAATCTAGCATCGATTTATTGGCGGATTAGGGGAGATGCTTACAATGCTTTAGAGTGCAGTCGTAGAGCGATTGTATGTGCTTCAAGGTAATATAATAAAAAATTTGTTTATATTGTTATAGATACTAGAAAAAAGTGGAAGACAACTAGTGTAATTTTACTGATTTTGTAACGAAAACATTGTATGTGATTAAGGCAATATCGTGATATTCCTCTTCTGACTACTGCCGGTATTTTACACGCTGCAAGATATTCTGGTGAAGCCGCGATTGTTTTACATGCGGCGATAGATTATAATCCAATAGAAAGTCATCATCATCTGGCGCTGGGCCACATTTACACGTCCCTCGGCGACTTCGATCGATCCGCAGCGTGTTATGATAATTGTTTGAAATTGGCACCTGACACACTAGAAGCCAAACAGATGAAATATGCCATATTCTGTCATCGTTTTTTGGAAACATCTTTGTTATTATTTGATCAGTAAGTTGACATCGTTATTCCCAGTTTAAGAACAGTGCTGATGAAGTGTTTATGATTATAATTATTACAGACGCTTGCGGAATGTGTTGTCAGAAATACATGCATATCACGACTGGAAGGAAGAGTGGTTTAAACTCTATGAGCATATGCTCTGGGAGCAAAATATTAAATCTGCTACCAGAGAAATTAAGCTCGCTTTTGCGCGAGAGCAAAATCTACATTTACTTACGATAAATCCGATTGAAAGATCAATTCATCATATCGATAATAATGTTATATTATCTTACATGGATTTGGGAGATAGGAAAAAAATAGCTGAGAACATGCTACAGAATGTTCATGTTAGTCTTCACCTGTTGAAAAATTTACAAAAACAAGTAAAGGAGCGCAGCAATCGTATTACAAAGGGTACTTTTGTGATTTTTACAACAGATGTAAATTGAATGAATTAAGTATAGCAAAATCCATTTAATATTATTTCAGACATAATTACAGAATTAAATATGGAATACAATAATTTATTTGCGTCGCCAACAAGAAGTCCGAAATATCACAATGTGGAAATTAAGAAAGGAAATGAAGATTTTGAAACTGACTATTGGCCAAAGATATCTGACTGTGATAGTTCTATGTTAATGTTTGGAGATGGAAAACAATACTTGCCTATTTATTTATCGCCTGAAAACAAAGGTTATGCGTAAGTACAAATTTTGTACGCTGTATTATATTATAATACATTTTAATTCTAATATATTTTTTTCTGAATATTATTAGAACACATTTGTTCGTAAATGAATTGATTGATATAGAACCATGGAAAAAGCATCCATTACCATGGCATCCACCAATATGT